AGTGGGTTATTGGCTAAAGAAATGCATCTTCAATCTTATTCTGAAAAGGAAATTCTTTCTGCTTCAAATCCTTCTGTACTAGCAGTATCTTCTAAGTCATTCTCTAATAATCAAAACAAGCTTTACACAAGGGTTGACTTCAATGAGTTCAGTTTTTATAAGCAGAAAGGTCATTGGAAGGCTCAGTATCCTAAGTTGAAACAACAAAATCAAGCTTGGAAGTCTGGCAGTCAGTCACAAACTATTACTCATAAACCACCTCAGGGTTATAAACCATCACACTATAATACTATAGCAGTAGCTTTCCTAGGCTCTATTACCGATTCTAATACTTTGACTGAGAAATTTCAGAAGTTCCTTTCCTTGCAGCCACAAGCAATGTTCGCTTCTTATTTCATAGGTCAGTTGCCTCATAGTTCCTAAGATATGTCACACTTTGAATAAGTCTTGGATTCTAGTGCTTTCCATCATATGTCTCTAGATTCCTCATCTTTTACCTCTGTGTTCCCTTTATCCTTCATTCTTGTTATAACTGTTGATGGCACTCTTATACCCTTAGCAGGTGTTGGTTCTGTTGTCACACCTCACTTGTCTCTCCCTAATGTTTATCTTATTCCAAAACTCAAAACTGAATCTTGCGTCTGTTGGTCAAATATGTGATTCTGGTGATTATTTAGTCATGTTTTTTGGTTTTTTTTTTGTGTATAGGATCTGCAGTCTCAGAAGCTGACTGGGATAGGTCGTATGGAGAATGGACTATATATTTTGGATGAGTTAAAAGTGTCAGTTGCTACTGTTGCTGCTGCTACTACTATTGTTAATTTGTCTTCTTTTCATTTGAATCTTTCATCTTCTAGTTTTTATTTATGGCATTCCCATCTAGGTCATGTTTTGTCTTCTCGTTTGAGATTTTTGGTATCCATAAGAGCTTTAGAAAATTTAAAAACTTATGACATTTCTAATTGTAGTGGATGTAAACTGGCAAAATTTTCTGCTTTACCTTTTAATTGAAGTATTTTTGTTTCTTCTTCACTATTTGATTTGATTCATTCTGAAGTATGGGGACCTTTTCCTGTTGCCATAAAAGGAGGGTCTCGATATTATGTCTCTTTTATTAATGATCATGCTCGTTATTATTAGGTTTATTTAATGAAACATCGTTATGAATTCTTTGAGATATATGCAGCTTTTCGAGCTCTTATCAAAACTCAACATTCTGCTGTGATCAAATGCTTTAGGTGTGATTTGGGTGGGGAATACACGTCCAATAAATTTTGCCAATAGCTTGCCTTAGATGGAACCATCCACCAAACTTTATGTACAGATACTCCTAAGCAAAATGGTGTTGCTGAAAGAAAACATAGGCATATTGTCGAAATTACCTGTTCTCTTTTGTTATCTGCTTTTGTTCCTAGTGAGTTTTGAGAAGAAGCTGTTCTTACTGCTGTAAGTTTGATTAAAACAATTCCATCTTTTTATAGTTTGGGTCTATCTCCTTTTGAAAGTTATATGGGTATGTCCCCGATTATTCCTCATTTAGAGTCTTTAGTTGTACTTGTTTCATTCTTCGTCCTCATGTAAAACGTAGTAAGTTATCCTTTTGATTCGCTATTTGTGTCTTTTTGGGTTATGGTGAAGGTAAAAAGAGGTATCGTTGTTTTGATCCAATAACTCAGAAACTTTATGTGTCTCATTATCTTGTCTTTCTTGAGCATATATCTTTCTTTTCTATTCCATCCACTACTCATAACCTGACTAAATCTGATATTATTTGTATAGATCCCTTTTCTAAGGATTTTGATAATGATACGTCTCCCCATGTTCGATCAATTTATACTCATAACTCTACAAGTATTGGTACTTTACTTTTTGGCACACTTGAAGCTCCATTCTCATCTACAACCCCTCAAGTTTCATTTGAGATTATGGATCCACCTTCATGTCAGTCCATCCGCATTGTAAGTCCACAAAACTACTAGATTTTGCTTATTCTTGTTATTCTTCATCATTTACTTACTTTTTAGCTTATATTCATTGTCTCTTTGAGCCCTCTTCCTATAAAGAGGCAATTCTTGATCCACTTTGGCAACAAGCTATGGATGAGAAATTTTCTACTTTGTATAAGACAGATACTTGGGATCTGGTTCCTCTACCTCCTAGTAAGAATGTTATTGGTTGTCGTTGGGTGTATAAGATCAAGACTAATTTTGATGGGTCTATTGAGCGATACAAAGCTAGGCTAGTTGTAAAAGGATATTCTCAATAGTATGGTATGGATTATGAGGAGACAATTTCCCCGGTTGCAAAAATGACTACTATTCATACTCTTATTGTTGTAGCTTTGATTCGTCAGTGGCATATTTCTCAGCTTGATGTTAAAAATGCCTTTTTAAATGGAGATCTTTAAGAAGAAGTTTATATGGCACCCCCTCCTAGTATTTCACATGACTCTGGATATGTTTGTAAGCTTAAAAAAGCATTATATAATCTCAAACAAACACCCTATGCTTAGTTTGAGAAATTCTTTATTGTGATCTCATCTCTTGGCTTTGTTTCTAGCAGTCATGATTATGCTCTTTTTATTAAATGCACTAATACAGGTCGTATCACTTTGTCTTTATATGTTGATGATATGATTATTACTGGTGATGACATTGATGGTATTTCAGTTTTGAAGATATAGTTAGCTAGACGATTTGAAATGAAGGATTTGGGTTATCTTCGATATTTTCTAGGTATTGAGGTAGCATACTCACCTAGAGGTTACCTTCTTTCTCAGTCAAAATATGTTACAGATATTCTTGAGTGGACTAGACTTACTGATAACAAGACTGTTGATACTCTCATTGAGGTTAATGCAAGATACTCTTCTTCTGATGGTTTACCTTTGATAGATCCTACTTTATACCACAATATTGTTGGGAGTTTGGTATATCTCACCATTATTCGTTTAGATATTACATATGTTATTCATATTATTAGTCAGTTTGTTGCTTCTCCTACTACAGTTCACTGGGCAGTTATTCTTCGTATTTTGCGATATCTTCAAGGTACAACTTTTTAGAGTCTTTTACTTTCATCCACCTCTTTCTTGGAGTTACATGCATACTCTGATGCTGATTATGGTAGTGATTCCACATATCACAAGTTTGTTACTGGGTTTTGTATCTTTTTAGGTGATTATCTTATTTCTTGAAAAAGCAAGAAACAATCTATTGTTTGTCAATTATTCACCGAAGCAGAATATCATGTCATGACATCTACTACTAAAGAGATTGTTTAGTTACGTTGGTTACTTGCTGATATGAGAGTTTCCTTTTCTCATCCTACTCCTATGTATTGTGACAACCAGAGTTCTATTTAGATTGCTCACAACTCGATTTTTCATGAGCGAACTAAGCACATTGAGATCGATTGTTATCTTACTCATTATCATCTCAAGCATGACACCATTGCTTTGCCTTTTGTTCCTTTTTCCTTGCAGATTGCAGATTTCTTTACCAAGACGCATTCCATCTCTCGTTTTCGTTTTCTGGTTGGCAACCTCTCGATGCTTGTAGTTGCCGCATCGTGAGTTTGAGGGGAGATATTAAATAATATTTATGTAGTCTTATTTATTAAGGTTAGAATAGTACTTTCAGTTTAACCTATATATACTTTATTCGTATTTAGGTTAATACTAAACATTCATAATATATAAATTATTCAGAATTATAGCCTCTTTTTTTGTGTTCGATCTTAATTATTTTAACAAGATATATAATTTTGTGAGTTTTTCTTTATTTTTTTTATAATTTTAGGTGTCTGAATTAGTTTACATGCACTACAACTAATTTTTGAATTCACTGAATACTTATAAACTTAATGAATAGATAAAACACCAGGAAGATGATAAACATATACAAAACAAAATTGTACCCAAGTATAAAGAAAGAAAATAAATCCCTCCACCACGAGACCATGACTTCATATGCATGTGATTTTTTCTTTATTGTTTTTATTAAATGTTGCTATTTTGATGGTTATGTGTCGGGACATCACCTATTGTTCTCCCGCTACAGGCAAAATTCCAGGTCGGCAAATTTATTCTTAATAAACAGCTCATATTTTTTTTCCTTTATTGAAAAAGTATAAAATACATAAAAATGTTATATTAAAAAATAGATATATTTTTAAAATAAATTTTATATTTAAAAAAACATAAAAATATATCTCACATGTTCTTAATCTTTTCTTACGAGAAAATAACCAAATGTTAGCTATTGTACTTTTGATTATTTATTAGTACAATTATTATGGTGGGAAGGAAATTGGTAGGAAATATGTAGTTTATTTTTGTATTTTAAAAGTATTTTTTTTAAATTAATTTTTATATTTTAAATTAATATTTTTTTTATGTTTTTAGATGATTTTAATATGCTAATGATAAAAATAATTTTTTTAAAAATAAAAAATATTATAAACAATATTATTTTAATATAATATTAATGTAATGCTGGGTTTATTAGAAATAATTTTTAATTATTAATATTTTTTTTAAGAAAAAGCACATTTATTCTTATCCCAAGTGGGAAATGAAAAGGGTTTTGAAGTATTTGTCACTACCTTTCCTCTTCCATCTTCTAACAAGATATTCACTAGTAATTGCTAGGTATTAATGTGCACTCTCCAGGTGCACGAACAAGGTCCCGTAGCTCAGTTGGTTAGAGCGTTGGTTTTATGAGCCGAAGGTCGCGGGTTCGAGCCCCGCCGGGACCAGATCTGTCTTGTTTTATGAACGAGGGAGTCCCTTCTATTAAATCTTTAGTCTGGTGATGAATGGTGAGGTCCCGATAGGTTAGGTGCTCCGTGGGCCGCAGTCGGGGTTTTTTTAAATGTATTTGACTGTTGGCCTTCCAAAGGATGAAACAGCAGTTTCAGTTTTGTTGAGTAGTCAGTTAAACATTCTCTCTCACCCATTTCTTGGACTGCACTTAAACTTCTTCTTCTTATTCCTCCCACTCCATCTTCTCAAACCACAAGCCAAAACAACAAGCCTGCGTTGCTCCTCTTTCTGAACCACGAACAAAAGCATGGGCTGTTTCTTCTCTGGTATGTTTAGTCCGTTCCTATTGTCCTTAATCTTTTGCTCTGTACGTTATTGATTGTGCTAGGTGTTTCTGTATATAATGGTTAGAATATGGAGTGTTGCTGATTATACTGATGTGCGTTGTCCTAGCTAGTTGTATGAAGCAGATTTTGCTGTCATGTATTTGTAAATTATATATTTATTATACTGTTCCAAATGTTTGATTTGCTCTAATGTAGTGGCTTGAATTTTTAATCAATATTGAAGCTTAGTAAAATATTATCTTCTATGTTTAATGGTGATCGATTCAGCAATTTTGCTTGAGCAAAATTGAAAGAAATCCTTGCATCATGACAAGTGATCTGTTCTCGTTTTGATCAAGCATGGAGCTAAACATGTTTTGGCTTTGGTCTTTATCACCATGCACCCACTTCAGAATGGAAGAATCTTTACCCTATAAGCTCATAATTAATGTCACAAGTGGTCTCAGCTGGATTTGAAAGCAGCTATGAACTTAACGGAGACTGAACTTGGCTAAGCCTTTAGGTTTCTTACTCAAGGGAAGTTGCTTCTTTGATTATCCTGTTATAAATGCAATATAATCTAATCAGTGTGGAAATTTTTTGGCATGTTTATGTTGGTTTCTACACTATATAGCAGCAAGCTGATCTACACCAATGGGTTCAGGATACTGGTTAAAGTCGATTATAAGCCTGAGAAAAGCGAAGAGAGATGGATCGAAGAAAGTAAAGGTAAATAATACTCAGGATTCTGCTGATTCCTTTGGGTACAACCAGGGTTATTGTTTCTTTTTTCTAATATGTTCCTTCATCTCTGTGAGGCAGGTACATTCAGCTATTGAAAAAGCAAAGGAGTCAAAGGAGAGTCCACCCACAAATGGAGAATCGAGTAGTTTCGCCCATGCTGATTTGCAGAGCAGTCATGCTGTTCCTGGATTGTCTGCTGAATATATAGCTGCCGTCAGGATTCAACAGGCTTTTCGGGCATACAAGGTACATTTCAACAGTGTGATTATAGAATGACCATTCATTTCTTCCCCGATGAACCAACCCTTCTGTCAGGAAAAGAAGAAAATCTAGATAGGTGTGATTAAGAGCTTGGCAGAGACCACCGATTTCGTTTCTGCTATCATGGCACACGTGCATATATTTGGTGTATGCATATGTGCCAAGATTTAAGCTCCTAGGGCCGCCGGCATTGATTTTCTTGCCATGTTCAGTGACCCACAACAATTTTTTGAAATCAAACGAGTGAATATTTATTGGTATCAACTAAATAGCCTTCTTATTTCACTGAGTTTCCAGATCGTTAGCATTTGTACGATCACAACAAGAAGAAATCTTTTGTAAGCATTGTTGGAATTTTTAAGAAATTTACCTCTGACATTTGCTTGCTCTCGTGGGCTTATAGCCATTCCAACTGTTGTAGAATTTGTATGATCAGTAAAGTAACAATGGTTTTCTTTTCCCATTTTCAGGCAAGAAAGGCAGTGCATCGTCTTAAGGGAGCTGTGAGATTTAATGTACTAATCCATGGTCAAGATACTCAAAAGCAAGCATCAAGCACGTTGAGCCATATACATTCATGGAGCAATATACAGACCCAGATAAGAGCTCGCCGACACCATCTGGTTGCAGAAGGCCGTATTAAGCAAAAGAAATTGGAAAACCAGTTGAAACTTGACGCCAAACTTCAAGAGTTAGAGGCACTACTTTCTAATACCCATTTGGATTATAGATTTCGAACTTAATTAATCAAACAGTATCATGTTGCCAAAAAATTAAAACTTGGACCATATTTTTTAATTATTTGAAAAACAGTGAAAATTTTGAAATGAAAAGCTTTTAAAAACCTCTAAAATGTATTTTACAAATTTGAGAAACTAAAAAAATAGTTTTTTATTCTTGGGGAAATATTATTTATATTTAAACAGGAAGCACCGGTTTTTCTTTAAACGGTCTCATGAAATTTTTAAAATTTTTCCTTTGCATTGAAGCAAGTGTATTTTCTTTTCTTTCTAGCATGTTCCAAATTAACATACAGCAAAATTCCGAAATATGACCTCATTTTTCGTGGTTTGAGTCTTTTATGTGCCAGAGAACATACAATTGTTTACTGTTTAAAAAGTTTAATGTGAAAATACAGAAAAATTAGTGTTTTGTTCGAAAAATGCAAGCTGTCGTCTTCTTGTTTATGTGGGATTCTTATGACTGTTTCTACTTGTGCTACAAGAGAATTATGAGTCTATGAAAAACCAATGAATCTGCCATAGAAAGGAGGAGTTGATGAGTAATCAATGAGCTTGGCCCTACGTACTGTGCGGACTGGTGGTTGTTGGTCTTTTCTTTTTCCTTTGAGATGGAGCTGTTTGGCTATAAATGAAACTCGGCCAACAGGGAAATGTCTTGTAGTTTAGTTTAGTGCCAGAACTCAATCATGCATTAGTCTGACATTATCATGCTTGAGTAGCTACAAGCACAGCTGCTTCTTCTTCTTTTTGTATGAACACAAGCTCAGCCATTTTAAACCTAATTATTCTATGCAGACAAATGATGACGTGACTGTCATAGCATGGTTGAAATTGAATGCATCCAAAGTAGTTAGCTCCCAAGAGAAAGGCAGTTGCCTAGTAATTATTGCATGAAGCAACCGCCAAGATTTCATGATCTACAATCCACATTTTCTAACTCAGTTTTGATAGGTGGAGTGGTGCGGTGGCTCCGATACCATGGAGGAGATTCTTTCCAGGATCCAACAAAGAGAAGAAGCAGCAGTAAAGCGTGAACGAGCCATGGCATATGCCTTCTCTCACCAGGTCCATCAACTGTTAAAACTATAAACACATCAATTTATTATAGTTTCTGGTTCAGTTGACAGTAAATAAATGTTGTGAGTTAATATGATTTTCAGTGGAGAGCCAATCCTACACAATATCTAGGCCAGGCATATTACATTCTTGGCAAAGAAAACTGGGGTTGGAGCTGGAAGGAGCGCTGGGTTGCTGCGCGGCCATGGGAAGTTCGAGTTCATGCTGAGCCTAGTAACCTCAAGAAAGTTCATTCCAGACAAGGGAGCAAAACGGAGATTAAAATACCAGTACTGCCAACGAAACCTGCTCTGTCAAACGGGAAGGTGAATGCTAAAGCCAAAAGGTTGTCCAGCCCAGCCATGGATTATCAAGCAACCCAGGATGCCAGTTCTACTGCCGGCTCATCTCATTTGTTGATTCAAAGTTGAGTTAATTAAGTATAATTTAGCAAATCATTTACTTGCAAGCTTGTACACGCTCCTTGATCCTGTGTTTTTGTTTTGTTTATTGTGGGGTTGGTGTGAGATTTGCGTGCAGTGTGTGAAAAGATGGTAACAGACAGAAAAATGTTTTCATGTTTATTGTGAGATTTGGTTTAGTGTCCGGGTCAAATCATTTTTTTTATATATAAAAAAGTATTTAAATGTTGCAAATGTGTTCTGTAATAATAATAAAAAAAATTAATAATGAATTTAAAATACAATGCATATTGAATGATTTTTTAAAAAGGAATATTGATACTTGGATAATATTTGCTTTTAAAAATTATTTTTCAATTTAATATTAAAAAATAAAATTAAAAAATAATATTAAATTAAAAAAATAAAAAAACTATTTAAAAAACTTAGATTAACATATTAAACTTGCAATTTAGATCACAAGATAAAAATAATTTCATAAAAAAATAATACAAATACTCACTTCCAATATATCTATCTAGTTACTTAACTTGTGCTATACCACATGTTGTATTTTTTTTCAATAAATTTGTTTGGATATAAACACTTTATCAATGTGTTTTTTAACATAAAAAAAATTATCAATGTATTAAATACACTAAATAATCATGTGTGTAAATAAATAATTAAAAATAATTAAAAATAAAACTAAAAAAATCAAAAGACACATGTAGATCAAGATATTTGATAATACAATAAAAGATATTTACTTATTTGTGTTTACAAAATTTATTTTTTTATTAAATCAAATAATAATAGATATATATGCACATGAAATTGATTGAATAAAACAAGAAGAAAAAAACTATTATGCAAAGCTGCATACATTAAAAATATTATCTAAAAATAAATTTAATTTAAATAAAACATAAAAAAATATTTATAGATGAATCAAAATAATATTTTCAAAAATTATACACATAAAATAACTAAGAAAAAGCCACTATTAAAAAAAATTAAATAAGCAAAATAAAAATTCACAGAGAATGAAAATTAATCAAAATAAAAAATTATCTTAAAAAAAACATATTAATAAAAGCATCAATAAAAAAGACAATGATAATCTAGATGTTGCTAGCATGTTTCAAAGAAATAAGAAAAATAAACAACTCAGGTTATACCTTATTTTTTAAAAAAAAACTAATATCGATTAATAAAATTGAAAAGAAAATAAGTAAAAAAAAATATTAACCTATAAGCACGATAAAAAAAAAATACAAAACTCAATTTTAAAAAAACCAAATATTAATTTTCACCCTCCAAAAAATACAAAACTCAATTCTAAAAAAACCAAATATTAATTTTCACCCTCAACAAATCAAATATTAAATAATTAAACTAGAAAAAAAAATTATCTACACAGAAAATCTAAAACAAAAAATTACAATTAAAAGACAAGGGTGAAAATGTAAACAAAAAATAAATTAGAGGACAATTTATTTTATTAGAGGGTTACATCGAGAAAAAAAGACTTTAACAAAATAAAAATAAAATAAAAACTGAGAATTAAATTAAAAAAAAAAAACAGATCATAAATTATGATTATGATTGAAAGTCAATAAACCAAAATTTAAAAGAGATAAAATTTATTATGGGTTGTTCTATTTTTTAAAATGATAAAAGGATATATCTGTCATTTTTGGCAAAACAGAACAAAATTCACAACCTCAATCAAAGCTAAGGCATGGAGCTCCAAACCACACGGAAACTTAGGATGAACGAATTTTAACCGTGTAATTCATTAATGTTTTTACACTTATTCATTGTTAGTTGTATTGCTAGGCAAGAACAACTACATCCCAACAAGATCTTCCATACCTAGCCCCATTAAAATCTGTATGTTTTTTCTCTGGTAAATCTTAATTTACTAATGCACTATTCAGCACATCATCCCATGCGTGCAGTTATCCCCGCCAGCCACCCTATTTTATTAGCTTTCAATGAGGGTGGCAAAAGGAATATGATGTGCAGTTAAACTTAGAGTTGTATTTGCAGAGGTAGTTATCAATCCTGGTATAAACAAGACTACATAGCAGAATGTCACCATCTCCACCGAATCCAAGTGATTCATTTTTGTATTTTTTTAGCTTTTTCCCAGGGCAAAAAATATCCAGCTAGGCTGAGGGGGCTGAGATTTTACAGGGTTGGGGAACAAAGACATGGCAAAGTATCAAAATTTTAGTGGTATCCATCTGTGTATTCTTTTCCATAATTGAATTTTGTAGTGTTCATTCCATTCTACTTTCATGGACATGGTTCCTCCAGCAGTGTAATCCACTTAGCCCCGCTTGTTCTACCTTTTGAATTTATCTAAGCTTAGCACTCATCGATAACGTCAAGAATGACAGAACATGACCTTTGGATTCCTCACAACCTGATCTAAATGCAAATGTAAAATCCAGGAGAGCTTGTACTTCAAATCCCACATACACAATCCAGGTGCACATAGGCCTCAAAACACACTTGGATCTCTTTCACACTAGCTAGATGAAAGAATTCAGATTCTACCAGTTTTGGTAACTGTAGTTTTGTTGGTAAATATTTTCTACTTTGGAGAAAGTAGGTATCCATCCTTGTTTTGCTTGCCCTTATATAGGGAGCTCTTAGTTACTTTAACACACAAGCCTAGTCACATCACACTAAAGAAGCTAAAAAAACAGAAAGAAGACATTACGGAGTAACGGAGACTATAAAACACAATTCTCCACTCAGAAGGTCAAAAAGTCTCCATTTCTTTTCCAGTTTCCTCTTCTATTCCATTGCAAAAAAGCTTCAATTATTGATGGAAAATTGACTCCCCGAAAATCCGAGCAACGAAAGAGATGTTAAAGAGGGTTTATTCTTTCAATTCTTTTGGCAGTTGTAAGGAAGATGTTGAGGCATCAAAAGGCAGAAAAGCAACAAACAGAAACAATCACGAAGAGACTCTCTCTTCCATCTACATGAATTAAACAGAGGAAAGGGCCCTTACTGTGTTTCTCACATTTTATGATAGCGAAGAAAATAACAAGCAGCTCAAATGAACAAAGATGTAGGAATGAGCAAGGGGAAATGCTACTACAGAAAGTCTTTATTTGCTGATCTGGGTTTGCACTGAAAATCATTTTAAGGATACCAGATTACCATACATGCATATCAGGTCTGCTCTAACTGGGGAAAACACGAACATTTCATCAAATCAAACTAGCTCTGCTTCTATCAGAAATGGAATCAAAACACAAAAAAGAATCCATGACATGCAAAAACTTTAGCAACATAAACAGTCAATCCAACAAAAGCTGGAAGCAAATTAATTTGAGCTATCAAAGCACTCTCAAACATGGAAACGAAAACAACAGCTAGAACATAATACCAAATAAACACCTAAAACCTGAAATATCTACCCGTATCTCTCTCTTTTCGCACGGTATTTGCGATTGATTCATCTCCAAGTGGCCAAAATCCCATCCTCCAAGCCTATCTTGAAAACATCTTCTTAGCCCCATTTTAGTCTCTCTTAAACAGTGCACAAGTCCTGCAAGAACAAGATATCATGAGGAAAAGATGAATTTGAGAAAGGCGAAAGTAAAAAAAGGGATTATAGATGGGTAGAATTTGAGAAATGGGCTTGAAGGTAGCACCTGGAAAAGGTGAGATTTTGGGTTTTTTTAGCTCAATCAACTGCGAGAATCAGAGGAAGCAGAGGACGGCTTGCTGTGAATGCCGTCGCGCTCCTCTTCTTCGCCTTGAATTCGTGCTGGAACTCGAAACCCAGAGAACCCACCATCTGAGGCAGTGAATCCAATGCCTGATATTGCAGTTTGCTGCTGCTGCTGCTGAAGATGATGATCAGGAGTGATTGCCGGGTCTATCCAAGCACGAAACGAAGGCGTGTTACTGGACTGAAGGGTTCCCCTCTGTGAAAAAAACTGGTTTTGGCCGAAGAACGGCTGTACAAGTGGCGATGGCGGCATCGTCTGTGGTGGTGGTGGTGCATTGAAGATGAATCCTGCACTTCCTCCACCGCCACTACCAGCATCTGCTGCATTCCAAGCCACTAAATTTCTTTGGAACCGGGTAATTTCTTGTGGGTGCTGCTGCTCAGACCACCCACCAGAAGAGCAATCAAAGCCAAGATGATGGGCAGTGGTTCCAGAGAACGACACTTGATGTTCACTTTGAGCTTGATGACCGTGATGGTGTGCTTGGTGTTGCCAAAGAATTGGTCCTTGAAATGATAGGAGCGAAAGCCTCAGATCTTGGCTCTGGCTGCTGGTTCTTGACATCAAATCTGGTGGATAGTTCTGAAACTGTATAGTAGGAGACGATGTCTCCGTAGATGCACCTATTGGAAAGAAAGTTTTGATTGTGTCAGCGATGACATCTGAGTCTAAAGATGGTGGCAGAAAACCCGAACTACTGTTGGGGTTTTCTGCCATTTGTTGTTGCGTATTTTGAACTTCAGCAATTGCTGCTGTTTTTGAAGTAGCAACATTTTCTACGAAAAGCCCATACTCGTTCTCATCGCTTGTGTTTTGTTGTTTGGTGCTTCTAGTAGCAGTTTTACTAGTTTTGGGGGTGAAGCCCGCTGTGGTTGGATCCCATGCCGGTAGTTCTGCGAGCTCGTCTATGGAGGCCTTGGCTTTCTTGATGAGCCAGTCGACAGCTTTGCTGGGACGATCGTAGCCGAGGCGGTCCTGCACATCGTAGAACTGGATAGCAGTGTGGGCTGAGAGCCGGACGCGGCGGTCTCTTGGGCCTTTGGCTGTACAGACCTTGCTGTGGCGGTCTTTTCTTCCTGTAGGCCGAACAATGAGGCCTCCTTGGACCTCCACGATCTGTCCCACTGTGTTGCTTATCCCCAATCTAGACGATGTTGCTGCTTGGTGGTGGCTCGCTCCCATTTTTCTTGCATATTCGACGCTTCGCTCCTGGAAGGTTAAAGAGGACGAAGATGGAAAATAAGATCTTTTCTTGGATGGTTGTAGAGGAGGTTGCTGCTGCTGTGTATCTACTCCCTGATACGAATGTTGGTTTTGGTCTTGCTGGGGCTGTGCGTTTTGGAGATTTGGTGGTGAACAAGAAAGGGCAGCACTTGATGATGATAGTAGTGCTCTTTGGGTGATTGGCGATCCTTTTCTCCTCCTCCACCTCCTCCTCCTATATGTCTTGAATTTGGGACTACGTTTTGAGGCTCCGGACCCAGGCCCTT